ACGTTTAATACAAACTACATACAATATTATTAAGTTTAGTACGAACGTATATATTCCCGATCATAGACAAAGCTGTCTTTTTTTAGCACCTTAATAGTTCACTTAAAGGATTTGTCCGTCCTCGATCTCAAGAAAACATAGTTTTACGAAATGACATGTGGATTTGATTTAATAAAGTAAATAAATTTTAATTTGGTATACTGTTATCTCGTAAAGAAATAGAATGTATTCTAAGAAATGCATCGAGTTTCTTTGAAGATAATGAATAACATTAAGCGATTGGATTTCTTCTCATTAAGTCTAAGTCAGATTCCATCATATCTTTTACAAGGCCCTAGAATGAAAAAGTTGAATGATAAGTTCATATCTTGTAGCCATACAGATATAAATAAGATAAATAGATACCTCAAATGTAACTGTAGGTTTCCAACCTATTTTTTCTTTTGCTTTAGTAGCATCGCCGAGTAGAACATCCTAGATAAAAAAGAAAGTCAATATCATTTATGTGAGCGCCTATCACACATAATTACTTTCTAGTAAAAGACTGATACGTACTACTTCTGTTGGACGGAAATACTTGGGATTTATTTTAACTAATACTTCTCCCGTTTGTGCATCCTGTCCTGTCTCATTTACACCTTCACCTTCCCACTTAATTGTGCGACCTACATATTGAAAAGCTGCTTCCACAAATTCTCTAACGCTATGTGTTTCTCCTGTTGCTATCACATAATCATCTGGAGCTGGCTGTTGCAACATCAGCCACATTGCCTACAAAAGTATATACAACATACTGCTTTAAAATCTTGCAGGTCATCAATTTATATATGAGTAATTGTTACCTGAACATAATCTTTTGCATGACCCCAGTCTCTTTTGGCATCTAAATTTCCCAATTCAAGCACATCTTGCAGTCCTAACTGTATTTTTGCTATCGATCTAGTTACTTTTCTTGTAACAAAATTCTCTCCTCTTCGAGGACTTTCATGATTAAATAATATTCCATTACATGCAAACATATTGTATGCTTCTCTATAGTTAACTATGATCCAGAAACTGTACAATTTTGCACAAGCTGAAGTTTTAAAGATTTTAATGACTCTATAATGAAGATAATGTACTAATATAATAAAATAATAAAACATTAAATAGTTACCATAAGGGGAACGTGGATAAAATGGTGTTTTCTCATTCTGTGGTACCTCTACCACTCTGCCATAAAGCTCGGATGTTGAAGCATGATAAAATTTCACAGATTTTTCTAAACCACAGGTACGTATTGCATCCAACAATCGAACTGTTCCTACTGCGTCTACTTCAGCAGTATATTCGCTTACTTCAAAACTTACCTATAGAAAAGTATTATTATACTGTAAGTAGGTGATTAATTGTTTCAAAGTTTAAAATTTGAAAATGTGACGTTTACCATAACATGACTTTGTGCAGCTAAATTATAAATTTCTGTTGGCTGTACAGAACTAATCACTTTAACTAAACTACTAGAATCTGTCATATCACCGTAATGTAACTTCATTTTACCCTGGCGATGACATTTTGGATCTGAATAAAGATGTTGAATACGAGCTGTATTAAAAGAACTGGCTCGTCTAATGATGCCATGTACATCGTATCCTTTTTCTAGTAAAAATTCTGCTAAATAAGAACCATCCTAAAAGAAATACACAAAATTAATTTAACTTGCATTTTATGAGTATGTCATCACATTCATCGAAATAATTCTATCCACGTGGCAAAAATAGTTTATCTGAAACACGACTAATATCAAAAAAAGTATGAACTGTCAACCTTACTTGTCCGGTAATTCCCGTAATTAATGCTACACGTCTTTCATCGCCGGTTGCCATTTCAACAGATACCCGAAAAAAAAATAGTTTTCCTTTATATTCTCCTGAGAATTGTCAAGTTGTACGAATGTGTAACACCTAATAAGGCAACACTTTTTACAATTGATTTGTTTACCATTCATTCGGGCGTTATCTTGCAACTTCGGGCAAACACCTGCCAAAGGAAGTACTACATATACATAACTATTACAAGAGAAACTTTAAAAAACTTCGTTTTGAATTATTAGTACACACGGAAAGACAATAGCAGATATAATATTCGATTTATCATTTTAAAATCATTAAACACACACTTCTACCGTTTCAATGATGCTTAATAATTATTTATTTATTCTATTAATGAAACTACATTGACTGTTGTTTTTTACTCGTTTAATATACAAAATATAATATAATTTGTAATAATTCCAAATCCAATTCTGATTTATTATACTGAAAAATTTACTTAAAATTTGAGAAGAAAATACACACATGTATTGTTACATTCATGTAGGAAAGAAACAAGTAATACATCCGTCCATACATACGTAGATACACGAATGTATGTACCTACATGTATGTAGGTATGAACTAGCCAATCATTTGCGTAAGTAAGAAGGAAGTCGTATTTATGTGTGTGTAGAAAGAGTAATTTTGTGCATTGCCATCGTCGCCGCAAAGTGTAGTGTCATTCGCAGTGAAAAGTTCTGAGTTTATAATTACTAAAGAAAAATTTGATAAACATGGCTCTTCTAAGTGAAAATCCAAATCGATCCTTGCCTGATTATGAGACACAAGTTGCAAAAATGAAGAGTTTTAGTCCATATGCGGACAATGGAGGGTAAATTTCATATATAACCTCAAACTCTTAACGATAATATTTAAAATATAAAGAAATTTAAATACTTTATATTGTTAATAGTCAAGTTTATTCTTTTTCTTTCTAATTACAGAAGTGTCATAGCTCTCGCAGGAGATGATTTTTGTGTAATTGCAGCGGACACACGTCTTAGCGCAGGATTTTCTATTTACACGCGAGAACAACAAAAATTATTTACTTTATCAAAAACAACTGTTTTAGGATGTTCTGGATGTTGGTGTGATACACTGACTCTGACCCGTCTTTTGTCTGCTCGTATGCAGGTAAATTTCAAAATATACCTAATTTTAAGAATAATTCTTATATATGCAGGAATAATATTTTTTAGCATTATACCATTTATGTATTTATGATATTCAAGAGTTATTGAATTATTCATTAATATTTTTATTTCGTTTAACATAGATGTACATGCATGAACACCAAAAGGAAATGACAACACCAGCAGTAGCACAAATGTTATCAACAATGTTATATTACAAACGCTTCTTTCCATATTATGTTAGTAATATTATTGGCGGAGTAGATCATGAAGGTAAAGGTTGCGTATACAGTTATGATCCAGTTGGACATTGCGAAGTAACTAAGTATAGAGCGGGTGGCTCTGCTGGTGCACTTTTGCAACCTCTTCTTGATAATCAGGTATAATAAATATGTTATGAGAACATATGTTTTATCGACTACATTTCAATCCACTAATTGCATTGTATACCTTGCAGGTTGGATTTAAAAATCAGGAAGGTGTTGAACCTGTTCCTTTAACCGAGGAAAGAGCAGTTTCAATAATAAAAGATGTTTTTATATCAGCTGCAGAAAGAGACATTTATACAGGTGATTCTATAAGTATCAAAGTTATAACAAAGGATGGCGTAAAGGAGTCAAGTTTTGAATTGAGAAGAGATTAATTAAATAAGATAAAAATAATGTATTGTCAGGTTTCTGTACGAATAAAAGTAATACTAAACGATGTAATTAATGTTTATTTAGTCATTTCTTTTATATATGTACAAGCTACTATATGATGTATGATGAAATATTGCTACATTATAAATTAATACTTTAATTTCTATGGAAATATATCGATGTAAGATGCTTACGAATGCATATGTCTATATATAAATTCTATCTTTTAACCATTATAAAATTGATCACTGATCTATATGTATATACATAGCAACAACCTTATAACGTTATTTGTGTTAATACAATGTTATTTAGCCTACCTGAATCGACATTCAAGAAGATGAAATAATAAATCTGTTTCATAATAGAATCAATGGCGTGTATTTAAAAATATAACAAAATGGCATATAAAGATAAATTAACAGTTTCGTCGATAGTTTCAGTATTAGTTGCTTGTAATTTTCACACAATAGAAATCCTACAATTTTTTTACAGTTCTGTTTAGGAAACAATGCATAAAGGTATAAAGTTAAAATTTTTTTCCCCCCCCGAGATTCACTTTTTTGTCCCGGGGGTTGTTACTGGTTTACCACGATCTTTTCCACGTAATTTTATTCCTAATACTCGCTCAATTTTACCAATTACCATCTGGTTGGGTATACCACGACCTGCTTCATAGTCATTGATAACTTGTGCCTTCTCATTTACTTTCTATATAACAATTGAAGATGTATGGATATATATATCCATGAATATAAATATGAAAACATGCAAATAAATATAAATAAATAATAATACTTACTGTTGCAAGATCTTTTTGAGACATTCCTTTACTCTGTCGTCCCTGTTGTATTAATTTACCCAGATCAAGTGGAATTTTGTCATGTTTCAATTCTTCAGTCTCTCTGTCTAACTTTGCAGTGTTTTTAGTTGTTACATGTTGTCTGTTTGCTCCTCCACCCCCTACAAAAAAATAATGTATTTTTAGTTTCTTTTGATCAAACAAAGATACTCTGCTTAATATTTTTATTATTACATATTGCGTCTTATTATCTGCTATCTTTGTATATACACTGTTGCATTAGTTGTCATTGCTACATCTAAACAGTATATTACGTAGAAATGAAGTCTTTGCAAACCAAACAGTACTCCATGCTACAAATTTTATAATTTTTAAAAACTCTTAAAAATATTGTACCTACATTTTGCTTGTGTTTCAACCGCAAAACCTTGACGACGTGCAGCATTCACCGCCTGTAAATAAACACAATTATACAATCGTGTCGTTACTGTATGTCGCGGAAGAAATACGCTGAAATTTCAGTCAAATAATGTTACCTGTTCTGATTTAAGTACCGATGCCTTTGGAGGACGTTTACGCAGAGTAATTGGAGCCGTGTCCCAGTCTGACATGCTGCAAGAGTCTGATATAACAGCAACACTCAACAATTATATTATCGACGTAGCACGTATGTAAAGCATGTAACTACTGTGCGATATTATACTTGCTATGAATCTTCCAGTAAGTTCTCTCTACGTTCCAAAAAGCACGATCTAATGTGCGACCTAAAATCGACCCGTACCGAAATTGTCCAATTTCGCGGACACTTTTGAAAGAGTCTCACAAATTTGCCAAACTATTCTATGTTCGTAAATATTCCTTTCGGTACTATTACATTTCAATTTTCATAATACTTTTTGTTTTTTCTCATACGAAACAATACATTGTACGCTATACATACATAATTACAAATGGATTTTTACATTCTACTAATCCATGTCACGCGACCGCGACATTCAAAATGCACATAAATACACATATTATTTTAAACTTACGTCTAAATTTTGTACAGGTAGTGAATCAAATATGGAATATTTGTTGTCAGATTGATCATGAAATTGCTTTTATTAAAATGGATTTTTCGACATGAACAAAGAACTCATACAAGAGATCCAAAAATATGTAACAAACATATGTATTCACATAAAATTTTAACGATTTCGGTAGACTACACACAAGATTTTATTTACATACATATTTTATTCCTAATTGCGATGCGACATAACAAATACGAAAAATTTATTCATAAATATTAAAAATTTGTAAAACTTACATATTTAATTTTAATGTGATTAATTTTATAATGACTTTTACAACCAATTTTTACATTTGAATAAGGTTAATATTAATTGTAATCAAAAGTTAATCTAACAAACTTCCTTTTCTTTTAATCTATTGTATTAACATATAATTCAACAACTACGTCGCTAATGATATGATACTTCATCTTCATATACAGTTTGTTTTCTCATGTCATGCAAGCATGGTGATCGGTTAAGTTGCTCTTTGTACATCGTACATATTTTGCATAGTAGTAATTCAAAACGCGGACGTCTTTGAAGAATTTTAAACCAATGCGAGATGTCTTTAATTAGTACACTTTGGAAATGTACATTTGGCCCCCGGCTCTTTACAGTTTATGAAATAACGTGGTTCAGTCGTTTGGTCGACGTAAGTGTAAATAGTAGTATGAGATTTATTACAGTTGTTGCATTAAGGTTATACCCCTTGTAATTTATTTCAGAAGTCATACGAGCCAAAGAGCTTAGAACGATGGAGCGATCACATTGTAGTTTGTGTAGGTATTTTTACAGAATTACAATATATCAATCTAATTAAACATCGTTTAGTACTAGACTAGTTTAATCATATACTAAGCTGCTAACATCAATTATGAGGTCACAAGTGACAGTTGCAATGTACAAGTTTGTTTGAAATTTAATTCATTCATAAATCGTTTATATTAGTAAACATTAATCTAAGTAATTTAGAAATAATTATAGCACATGTCAACCTTATTAAATTTATTTGTTTACAGTTTGCAGCAATTTGGTCCATAAGTCTGTACACAATACCATTAGTTGCCACCTTTTTTTACCAACGGAGTAATCCTTTAATAGATAATGTGTATCTACTATGCAAATTTGCAGCTGGAGCTGGTATAATTTTAATTGCATCATTGGTAGCACGAGGTTGCTCCAGAGCAAATAATCCAGTATATTTAAAATTTTTAAAGACATTAAATGATGCAAATGCACGTTATAATGCAGAAACTAAACAGGAACTGCATAAATATGAATTTGAATTTTGGGCATGGCCTGTAGATTTCAAAATTGCAGATGTAGAAGGGTAAATTATTTAATTTACTGCAACAATAGTTCAATAAACTTTTTGTAATGCTGACAAATTTTCAGGGATGAACCGCGTGAAAAACTAACATTAGAAAAAATTGCCGCATCCAGTGGTCGTGTAAAAAGGCAAACCAATAAAGAATTTATATTCACATTACCCTGTAAATTATTATCATATATTGTAGCTCATACTATTACTCTTAAAATGATATATACTGGAAGTTTATCAATTATTAACTGTGCTTTTCGTAAGTTGTACAATATAATATGACATATGTTTTTACGTTACCATTTTTTAAGAATGTATATTGCCATCGTAGGTTCTACACTTTTACAAGGACGAATAGATTTAATAAAGCAAGGCGGGGAAAGATACAAATTATTAAGTGCAGATAACAATGAAATCGACACTATGTTGATTGACAGACGAAACAAGTAATATATACATATATATATATCAATAATTTCTATTCTAAAATTCTATTTCACAAGAAATTAATTTGGAATAATTCGTTTTATACCTGCAGAACAAGAAAAGGGAACACATTGGTAATTACATGTGAGGGAAATTGTAGTTTTTACGAGACTGGTGTTACATCAACCCCATTAAAAAAGGGATATTCTGTATTAGGATGGAATCATCCAGGGTTTGGTAGCAGTTCTGTAAGTGTTATTTCTGCAAATAAGTATTTTGCATTTCATTCATCATAATGCTCCGATGAGAAGAATTGCTGTTACTCTTATACACCAATATTGCAAAGGTGAAATTTTGGCAATGTTGCAGTTAATCTCATTCCTATATGTATATTAACTATAATTGAAGTAATGGCAAAACTTCTCCTTCGGCTATACTATGATTAGAAAATTGTAACAGTAAGATATGAAAATAACTACAAAGGGTGCCCCATATCCTCGGCAAGAAGAAAATGCTATCGATTGTGTAATGCGTTTTGCAATCGAACACTTAAGGTTTCCCGAGGAACAAATTATTGTTTATGGCTGGAGTATTGGCGGTTACACTGCCACTTGGGCTGCAATGAACTATCCTTCTATTCAAAGTCTAGTAAGATTGTAATTCTTATCATAAAAAATATAAAATATTTCGAAAATAATTGTTTTGAAATGTTGCAACACATGTTCTAGGTATTAGATGCAACATTTGACGACATACTTCCGCTAGCCATTATGACAATGTCCTCAATGTTAGAAGGTTTAGTACGAAGTATTATCAGGGATTATTTTAATCTGAATATAGCGGAACAATTAATCAGGTGCATACATTAAAGCATTCTATTAAAATGTTTTCTTTAATAATATGTACGAATATTCTGTTTCTTTACAGATACAATGGCCCTGTATTGCTTATACGAAGAACAGAAGATGAAGTACTATGCACACCTAGTAATACTTTAGCGGGCAATCGTGGCAACATGTTGCTTGCAAAACTTTTGATAAAACGCTATCCGCAACTTTTCTCAGAGAATTCACTATATGGAATGCTTTTAACACGATTTTTGTCAGCCGATGTTTCTACTAGAAGTAAACAAATATTAACATATTTACAATTCAAATTACTATTTGTGTGCGAAAATGTAATATGATGCTTTTGAATTTGTTTCAGAATCAATAATTGATGCGGTAAAAGTTGACGAAAAGCAGTGCTTAGAATTAATTGCGCAAGACATAGAAAAAGCTGGCGGTATTGTACATTATCCTTCTACTCTCGGACAAGACTGTACTTGTAAAATAAAACAACAACTCGTACTGTTTCTTGTACGTATAAAAATAAATTTTATATTCATCGATACATATTATTCTATATATTTGGTATTTTAGGCAACAGTGTACATGAAAGACCAACCATCATCGCATTGTTTGCCATTAGCCGTGGATTTGTTTCAGCCCGGATGGCATCCAACATCTACGATACTCGCGAAATAACGAAATAAAGTTCCGTGATATTATAATTGTGTAATTATTAGGAACTTCGTTCAAAGTTCTAATTTGTATGGTAGGTGACACTTTCAAGAGTTACAATAATGTAGGGCTTGAGGTTTTAAATTAATTATGAAATAATCTTATTTACACTGTTTCTTTGAACACTTAATAAACATTCGCGGAACTCACAGAACTGTCAATGCATTTGATTTTGTTTTTACTGTTGAATGTTATTTATTATGTATGAATTTTAAACTATTTTCCATATTCCAAATGCATAAGTAATTTCTACATTTACTTTCGACGTTCTAGTCTAATTTTGATATACGTGGTTTAAACATTTTTGTAACTTCACTGATAAATGTGATCAAAATACGTGTTGCACTTATATTACCAGATTTTGTTTTGACAATTTATTATAATGTGACATTTAGTGATACGTCAATAAAACAATCTTATTTTCCAAACTTTTGTAACTAAATTGAATCTATTGATGTATAGGTGTTATGTGAACAATTGTTGTAAAATACAAAATTCGCACTGAACACTTAATCATTAATAATCTGTATACATTGCATGATATATGATCATTTCCTTTCATAAGGTTGTATAAAACCACGTCTGTTTTACAACTTGCAAAATATTTAACAATAAATAGGTATATCTTATATTAATGTTTCGCAAACCAATGTATCTTAATATTTATTATGTATCCTGCGTGCGATTTAAGACATTTCGAAGCGAATCTTTTGAGTCCTGGCACAAATCCACTGCTTTTTTCTTGTTTTGTATTGGTTTATCCAGAAATAATTTTAACGTGTTTCGGGTATCTTCCAAAAAATAGTCCTTGTGAATCACCTGCTCCAATGCTTTGAAACAACCATCTAAGTCCCAATCAATTTTTCCACTTTGTTTGTTTTCACTCTGAAATGAATGACATATTTGAGTTTTATTTGTATTACAAATATATGGACAAATTAATGGTACATCAATTCTGTAATGATACTCACTTTAATTAAACCTAGGCTAACCAGTAATGTATTATTCCAAATAGATATCTGATTATTTTCCTTCGCACAAGAACATAACATTGCATACAAAGAATCTGTTAAAATTTGTGCTTTTATTCTGACATCAACATAGCCAGATGCACATAAGGATGATATTTTCATAACCATTCTTGTGAGTTCTTCAATGAACTTTTGTTCCGGAGATGTATCAGAATTTTCCGATAACTCCTAAAACATAGAAATATTTTTAAAAATCATAAATATGCTACTAAATAACTCAAATATTATAACTCCTTACTTTGGCATGATCTATAAAATCTTGTGCAATTTCACCTTGTAATAATAATAATTTGTCATATGATGGTGATTTTAAGAATTGTGGTACAGTTACTTTTGGTATATTAATATTATCTGGTGTTTCATTGCCATTTTCAATTGCATCCTCCTTTTCTTCCTCATCATCTTCATTTTCTTCACTGGCACTGTCACTATTCTCATCTTGATCTTCATCATCTTCATCACATGTTTCATCATCTTGAAACGAGCCCAATGCCGAAAGTCTTTTAGAATTAGTAAGCGATTTCATCAGTACATATTGTCCTCTTTTTCCGAACGAATTTCCGTCCAATTGTAGACTTGTTAATCGATCCTTATCAGCCATAGCAATAGCTATTGGTTCAGCACCTTCAGACCGAATTTCATTATAGCTCAAATTGACTTCCTCTAATAAAGGATGGTTACCCTCAATTCCTAATGCTTCTGCAAGAACTATGCATCCTTGTGTTTTGAGCAAACAATCTCCTAAATTAAGCTGTATTAAATTTTTAAAATTCGGTAATGCTTTAGCGAGAGCACATGCTCCCTTCACACAGACTGTATTATCATTTAAATTTAAAATCCTCAGCCCTAAATTTGTTGATAATCCACATGCAAGTGCTGCTATGCCTTCATGATAAATACCGTTTTGAGGCATTACAATTTCCTCTAAACTAGTTAATTTCTGAAACACTGCTGCTAATGCTTTTGCACCCTCATTTTCTAATCTGTTTCTACCTGCTACAAATACTTTCAACGCCAAAGGAGGTTCTCCTACAATTAAGAGTAAATTATTAACTCTTTTTAGTTTGTATAATATATCAAATCAATGAAGTAGCTTACCTGCTTTACAGCTATTTTCATAGCAATCAGATAATGCTTTCGCTAACAAACTACCACCAGACGTTCCTAGCCCATTGTTATTTAGTCGTAATTCGCGAAGAGTATAACATGTATTGGATGTCAAAAATGAGGCTAATCCTTTTACTCCGATTGGTCCAAAAGCATTGTCACTTAAATCTAATTCGATTAGACGAGTTCCAGCAGTACATAGACTCGAGCCAAGGTACTCGATGGCTTTTGGTATTTCTGATTTCAAGCGACCAGTAAACATATCCTTCCAGTGTGCACATTTTAGAAAAGAACCTTTTTCCTCTAATATCTGAGCCACAGCTTTAGCAGCAAGCGGCCCCAAAGTGTTGCCTTCTAAATCCAAAATTTCCAATTTCGGGCATTCTCGTATTGCTTTCACAACATCCACCGCTAGCAAATAAAAAAGAAATTAAGGTTCGATTCAAAAAGCCTTGCAGCTTATTGAAATCGGATTTTATAGACATACTAGGAAATGAAACATTAAAGAATGTAAATTTTTTTCAATTCCTTACCATCTTCTTCAGAATCAAGCTTGAGCCCTTTCTTCGCAAAACACACACCGGAATACTTTTGTGCAACATTCTCCAATTGACTTCCAAGCTCACTTAAATTAAACGGAGTCATATTTCACTTTAGTTACACTTAACTGCACTACGCAACGATGAACTTTTTCTTCGTATTTCTTCGGTATCTATAATTTGGAGGAAACAGTACTATAAATATTAATCTTTTTTAGCAGCAGATAACAGCCACCATCGAAGGTCATTCGTAATGTGTTATTGCAAATTGCATCGAGATCGCGTCACGCACGCGGTAACGTACGCGGGAAAAGTTTACCAACTGTTGAGGAAGAAATATGTATTATGCGATATGTATGTACAATATGTATAGCAATCTATGTACATGCATACATAGACACATAAACATGTCTAGTTAATAGTATAATACAATACTAATGTCCAAAGTTGTGTCTCTTGGTTCCGGTGGGTCTTGTGTCTCCGACAAGCGACGTACACAGTAGAAATGGCGTGATTAATCACTAACCGTGATTTACGATTGAGATCGCAGAATCACAATCAAGGATGTGATTCAACTTTATTCATAATCGTGATCCTAACTTTCTTGTTTTGACTGAATTACATTTATGATTCCATTACATGGTTCATTCGTGGACCTAAGAATATAAGGACGGAGTATATACCTTGACTTTAGACAAGAGGGGACATGCATTTCGGTTGTTGCGTGTACTATGTACATACATTAATCCTCAAGTTTTGCAAACCTCTTCGGCCGCAATGCGCTCCGTTAGCGAAAATAGGAGTAGAAATTGTTCTGATTGGCTGACGATTCAATGCTAAGACAGGAATCGCTGCTGATTCGATGCGTATTAAAATGGTGAGGATGCTTGCGAAGGCTAGGGCGGTAGAAAAATCGTGCAAAACCTGACGTACAATACTACTGCACATACAACAGTAAATTTGGCCTAATTGACGCACAGAGAGTAAACAAAAATGGATAATTTGAGAATAGGAGATGTGATTATTCGAGCCTTGCAGCCCATTTTTATAGTTTTTGACAGTCGCTGACTATAAAAACAAGCCGCATAGCTCGAATAATCGTATTTCCTCTTCCCAAATTGTCCATTTCTTTTTACAAGCTAAGGGACAGGGTAGTTGTTCAATAATCTATTCCTACACGCGAGTAATTCAATTACACCGCCTTTTCCATCACCTCAACGTTCAACGCTTTAGTCGAAGATCTAGACCGGAAGTTCACCTGCATCCACGAACTCTACGAGGTCACTAGGAGGAGTGGCTTCTCATCACGAGGAGGTTGCTGCTTTAAAGACCCGAAAGGAAGCCAGAACGAAGCCGGAATTTGCTATGGCTCTCTTTCTAACAACGATGACTTACAAAATAAATGCGCTCTCTAGCTAGCTAGCACATACCCACACACACTCATTCGCTCGCATATGTCAAGTACTATTGCGGACCAAAAGTGGATCAAAGTCTCCGATCCACGGGGACCAAAATGAATCAGAGCAGAAGGCACTGTAGTAGGCATTGTAGTAGGAAGAAGTAAACGAAAGTTGGAGAGGAGCAGCAATAGCAGCAGCAAAAGAAGACAGCAGTAGGAGGAAGGAAGCAACAGTAAGAAGTTTCCATAACTCGGACATCAAGTCCGATTTAAGATTTTAATCGAAAATATTAATTACCATTTGGGAAAGATTTGGAAATTCGCGTTGAAATTAGAGATACGATTTTGCCATATAACTATTAATAATAATATATATATATATATATATATGTTTAATATATATATGTTTATATATATATATATATATATATATATATATATATATATATATATATATATATATATTTTGCCGAATGTTAAGTAAATTTAGATTCGAATTAAAAAGAAAATTAAACTTTGATAGTTGTTTAATTAATTCAGTAATTTCACGCACTAAATTTCCTTGAAAATTATATTATATCTTAATTCTTAACAATTGAATTTATAATAATTTCACTTTTGGAAGTGCTTTCCTGAAATGCGACTAATTCCTGCACTAAACGAGTACCGACTAATTGAGCAACGACTTTGAGCCGAGCGAGCAACCGAAGGATACCCCCACCTCTGACTTTGACGATCGACGGCGATCGATAATTTCGATTATTTGCAATTATTTAATATTCGCGATAATTTATTTTGCAATAATGCTATCGGGTGCCCGAAAAATTATTTCATCACTTAAATTGTTCATGAAAGGTACCAACAAGATTTAATTAACATGAGACTTGCATAAATCGATCAAATTGTTTAAGTTATTATATCGAATTGCTTTCGTTAATAAATTTATTATTTCCCACTTCTTAATATTTACAACAAATAGATTTAATTGCAGACAGTAATGAGCGAGGAAGGAGCAATTATTTAAGACAGGGTTCTATAAAATAGGGGGCAATCGTTGAGTCGGTATAACCTATAGCTGTCATGAACATTATTTTGGAAGCAATTAAAACTAAAATAGAAACGATTAGGAACAATTGAAAAACAATTGTTTACAATATTCTCCAATGAGACAGTACAACTTCTACTTATTGAATTGTAATAACGGGTTTATACTTTCGATTAACTTCGCGTGTATCGTCGGGATCATGTGATGATTTTTAGACACTTTCTCGAAAAGTAGAAACAAGCAATTAATAGTAATTATAGAACAATAATCATGATTTAAAAAACAATTCTTTGGTAGGTCATATGTTTTATTATATATTATTATTTTATATATTATTTCAAAAATTTCATATTATTAAAATTCTCTAACCTTTTGTGAAAGTTGCCCCGATAGAAGTTTTTGAAAATTTCTTAAAAACTACGAAGAAACAATTAAAAGCTATTACAGATCAACAATAGGCAAATAAAGAGCAATTGTTTAAGCCATCGCACATTGAGTTAGAGCAATTTTTTGAATATTTAAACCAATTGATATTTGGTAGCCATGAATGGCACGTGCTCCTAGTTCCTTACATATTTGTTGATTGAAAATTTATTGTTTATTGATAAAATTATCTCCCGCAGAAGCGCGAGCAAATGGTTAGATGAAAAAATCAATTTTTTAGTAGGTCATATAGCACGTTTTATGCATTATTTTAGAATTTTTAGTATTTGTAAAAATCCCCAGTCTCTCATAAAAGTCACTAGGCGTTTCAAAAAGATTGTTCGATATTTCTCGGAAAGGATAAGTGAGCAATTAAAACTAATTGATGAGCAATTATGGGCAATTAAGGAGCAATTTTTTTAGCTATGTTTCATTAATATTGGTTAATACGGTGGTCCAGCTTCACACGGGTGAGAAGATGCATTTGTGGAGACCGTTAAGCAGGTATCCCATAAATTCTTATTTGTAAATCGCGCTGCTCGTAACCGGTAATCCCGGTTATACGTCAGACGTACGCGCCGCGTGGACCTAAAAGGTTCATATATTGCGCTTTTCGCGGTAAAAACGTGATAGTTACGCTCGATATTTTCTTGCTCCGCGNGTTAAGTAAATTTAGATTCGAATTAAAAAGAAAATTAAACTTTGATAGTTGTTTAATTAATTCAGTAATTTCACGCACTAAATTTCCTTGAAAATTATATTATATCTTAATTCTTAACAATTGAATTTATAATAATTTCACTTTTGGAAGTGCTTTCCTGAAATGCGACTAATTCCTGCACTAAACGAGTACCGACTAATTGAGCAACGACTTTGAGCCGAGCGAGCAACCGAAGGATACCCCCACCTCTGACTTTGACGATCGACGGCGATCGATAATTTCGATTATTTGCAATTATTTAATATTCGCGATAATTTATTTTGCAATAATGCTATCGGGTGCCCGAAAAATTATTTCATCACTTAAATTGTTCATGAAAGGTACCAACAAGATTTAATTAACATGAGACTTGCATAAATCGATCAAATTGTTTAAGTTATTATATCGAATTGCTTTCGTTAATAAATTTATTATTTCCCACTTCTTAATATTTACAACAAATAGATTTAATTGCAGACAGTAATGAGCGAGGAAGGAGCAATTATTTAAGACAGGGTTCTATAAAATAGGGGGCAATCGTTGAGTCGGTATAACCTATAGCTGTCATGAACATTATTTTGGAAGCAATTAAAACTAAAATAGAAACGATTAGGAACAATTGAAAAACAATTGTTTACAATATTCTCCAATGAGACAGTACAACTTCTACTTATTGAATTGTAATAACGGGTTTATACTTTCGATTAACTTCGCGTGTATCGTCGGGATCATGTGATGATTTTTAGACACTTTCTCGAAAAGTAGAAACAAGCAATTAATAGTAATTATAGAACAATAATCATGATTTAAAAAACAATTCTTTGGTAGGTCATATGTTTTATTATATATTATTATTTTATATATTATTTCAAAAATTTCATATTATTAAAATTCTCTAACCTTTTGTGAAAGTTGCCCCGATAGAAGTTTTTGAAAATTTCTTAAAAACTACGAAGAAACAATTAAAAGCTATTACAGATCAACAATAGGCAAATAAAGAGCAATTGTTTAAGCCATCGCACATTGAGTTAGAGCAATTTTTTGAATATTTAAACCAATTGATATTTGGTAGCCATGAATGGCACGTGCTCCTAGTTCCTTACATATTTGTTGATTGAAAATTTATTGTTTATTGATAAAATTATCTCCCGCAGAAGCGCGAGCAAATGGTTAGATGAAAAAATCAATTTTTTAGTAGGTCATATAGCACGTTTTATGCATTATTTTAGAATTTTTAGTATTTGTAAAAATCCCCAGTCTCTCATAAAAGTCACTAGGCGTTTCAAAAAGATTGTTCGATATTTCTCGGAAAGGATAAGTGAGCAATTAAAACTAATTGATGAGCAATTATGGGCAATTAAGGAGCAATTTTTTTAGCTATGTTTCATTAATATTGGTTAATACGGTGGTCCAGCTTCACACGGGTGAGAAGATGCATTTGTGGAGACCGTTAAGCAGGTATCCCATAAATTCTTATTTGTAAATCGCGCTGCTCGTAACCGGTAATCCCGGTTATACGTCAGACGTACGCGCCGCGTGGACCTAAAAGGTTCATATATTGCGCTTTTCGCGGTAAAAACGTGATAGTTACGCTCGATATTTTCTTGCTCCGCGAGGCGTGACAATGTATACGAGCATTTTGTTCTCTTCATTTGATTTCATCTGCATTACATTATGATTCGATTTGGAGCCGTACACATCACAGTGGCCAATAGTGAAAACACGAGTGTTCAATAACCAAACTGGCATTCTTTTTTCTAGCCGTCTTCATAATGCCGCATACTTGAAGAAGTTTCGCATCGAACATGGAAATGGAGCATATGTATTATCGGCGGTATCTACGTATTGCGTATTCATAGGTTTACGCCCGCAGTTGCAGTCCGCTGCTGCACAGTCCGCACCCGTACGTTCGTGTAGTGCGTTTCAGAAAACTCTCCTTATCGGAATACCGACGTATATACACACACGTACACGCGTACACGAAATCGAATTTCAAAAGTGGTGGAAAAGGGCCCAGCGGTGGTGAACGACGTATGTACTTTCAATGGGGAAAGATATCAGTGTCGAATTAGCGTTAATGTAGCCAACGTACGAAACAGTGGAACGATTTAACGGTGACGAAGCTGGTGGTTGTTTTGAGACTGGAGTGTTACCCTATTAGAATGGTTGCAAGTGTCGCGCGCGCATCGCTGCGAGGCCGTAGTGTTGTGCCAAAATAAATCAGAGTTAGTTGTTCCTCGCTGGGAACTGCTAGTGGACGAATGTGCCTCTCCGTTTGGATCCGTTTCGAAACAGCGGGCCGAGCTATGCGGAGTCGCGATTACCCGCTCTTTTGTTTCGAGGACTACGATGGGTGTCATAGTCACCCGCTGATGTACATTCCGGTATTTTAAAAGCGATCAGCCTCGCCGAGCGGAAGTGTTTTTCGCTTGGCCATCACCATTTTACCTGCCTCCCGCGGATTTCGATTTCCTGGCTTGACTGAATTACACACCTGAAAGGGAACTGCAGCACGCGAATCTTAAATCCGTGTTTTCCAACAACCTTATCCGCCCTGACGTGATTCGCCCGGTTTGCCCGCCACAGGACGGGTTATGTTTCCCACTTTCATCGGGATCCTAGGTAAGCTTTGCATTCTTCGTGATGTGATCACCGATCAGTCTAATGGATCATTTATTTTCATTTCCATTCTAGCTTTTGCCCCTTTACCCAAGTTATATCATGTTGATTATCTCCTGAAGAAAATCGATGCCCACAATTGAGAGGCCTTGTCAATGACCCCAAGTTTAGCAACAGAATTATTTTCATTGTCCTTTTTTTTCGTTCTCCCTGTCTCTCTCTCTCTATCAATCTCTTTCTCTCTCTCTCTTTACCTCTCGTTCTATGTTTTGTTTCTCTTTTGTTTTACTATTGCGTTACACTCTACGTAAAAGTATATCCGATGCACGATCGCATTATATTCGTATCTGTGACTGATATTTATTTACCGTTTGTGTTTTTGCTTGATTATTTTGAGTTGTGAGTCCTTATACCAATACATATTAAGGTATTTTCTTTTGTTTTTCTTTTCGTTGTCGAATTTACGGTGGGTTCGATACTTGATAGTGAATGGTATAAAATATTTTTTGTTTTGTTGGACATTAGACACCCGTAATTAGTATTGTTGAGTAAACAGTAAAATTAATGATGAGACAAATTATCAAGTCAAGCAGCTGTTTCATACGTTTTTGGTATTTATGTAAATAAAGTTGTAAATAAAAATTTCAATTGTTGAATATGTAATGTTTAACATTTTTTATGAAGAATATTAAGAACTCAAAGTTCATTCTCTGG